TGTGCTCACTCATATATTTTTCTTACTGCATGAAAAACTAGAGGGAGGAAAAGGGAGCGTAGTCATACTGTCATTTGGGGATATTGCAGCCTATTCACAGAGACTTACTGACCTCAAGATGTCAACATACTGTAAAAATAGCTTATACAGTATCCCACCGTCAGGTCTTTAAATTTGTTATCAGACTTCTGATACATTTCTTTTCTGAGGTAATTGTAGTTTGTAGGAATACTTAAAAGAACATTTTAAATCTAGTACTTCAGAACCCTAACTTAGCTCAGTCATACTAAGAAACATATGAACAGAAATGGATTTATCTATGTAAAGAACAAGGCAGTCTGTTGGACTTCTGTTGAATAACAAATACAACTAAGTTCATTAGAAGGTATTAAATTACATTAAGTATTATCTTTATAGTTCAAATCAATCAGATGGTAGATCCGTGAGGTAGTATTCACTGAGGATATTAAAATAGAATCACAGTGTCATAGAGCAGCCCAGGTTGGAAGGGACCTTGGCTGATCATCTGGTCCAAACTTCTGTGGCAAAGGGAGCCTAGATGAGATTATCCAGCACTGTGTCAAATTGCTTCTTGAAAACCTCCACATCCTGGGGAGGTCGTTCCAGTGAATGATTTTTCTTACTGTAAAAAATTTCTTTCTTATATCAAGATGAAACCTCTCCCAATGCAACTTATACCTGTTGCCCCTTGTCTTCTCCATTTTGGCTCCTTGTGAAGAGGGGGACCTCTGTCCTATTTGTAGCTGCTCTTTAAGAAAAATAGTTACTAAGACGAAATGAAATGGAAACTCAATTTGAGCAGAACAGAAATGTTTAGAGAACTGCTTAGGGTGAGTTATGACTTTCTGTCCATGCTTGTGTACATCCAACTTCAAATACTTAACAATTCATCTATATACCTTCAAAGTCCCAATTTACAGTGATAGGATAAAATGTGGTAAAATTCTAGTTGGACAAAATACATTGTTATGATCAGGACTTCTAGACTGCTAAGTGGTCTTCAAAAATTTAAAAAGTTCTAATAGGAAAATAAATTGAAGACATGAAGGGAACTAACATTTTGTTTTGGGTAAAGCACCAAGTTTTAGAGTAATAATGAGAACATCTTGGCATCTATGAAATCTTCCTGTATTTAGAAGTTTACATTTTTAATTATTTTAATTTAGAATCTTTTCCTGACTTCCACTCATATTTTCAAACTAGTTACTGTTTTTTTAGTCTGTTCTCCCTGCTTCAATCCTTTCTTTCTTTTTTTTCTTTTTTTTAAAATAATCCTTAGCAGATGTAAAATGTTCCTCTTCAGGTTCATACCGGTAACTTTTATGAATCCCTCTTTGTAAAAATATTTGGTTAGGTCAGATACAGTAAGATACAGATATTTAGGTAAGACATGGTAAAATACGTTTTAGAAGTCAGTGTTCAAAGTATCTTAAAATTGTTATTGATATTGCTACATATCATATTCACGTTCTCATATGGATAGCAGTATGCTGACAGTCATGTAAATCACTGTATTCCAAACATTTAAATCTGAGATGGCTTTTGTTTGTGAAATATGGCAAATTATATAACCTCACAATTTTTGTAGCATATGTTTAAACTCAATAAGTTGTCAAGTGACTTGTGGGGAAAGAGAAAATTAGGGCTTCTAATACTAGTGTGTGAATTAATTATAATGAAAAGTATTGGTCGTAAACTACTACAATATAATAGAGGCATATAGATTTAAACCTGCAAAAAAGGCAACTTCAAGATAATAACTGAAAAATAATTTCTGTAAATTGTAAGATGAATATTTGAAACTCAAATAGTGTGCTGTTGGAGTTTATATTCAACGTCACCATCTGTAAAACATAGTAATTATTGTCTTTAACTATTCTGTTAATGACCATCTAAAATTATTCTCCCATTTTAGTGACATTCTTCAGTATCTGAATAGCAATGAAGTTCTTCATAAACAACTTGTTAATGTTGTGTTCAGCTGTTAGAGCTCTCTAGTAGCTGGGTTTAAGTTAGAAAAGCCTGTGTGTTTGTCCTTATATTTGAAGTCCATGGAACTAGATCTCATCTGCTGAAAGTGAGCTCTGGACTTGGGCAGAGCCCTTAGGGCTTTTGACTGGGTTCACCTAGGATTATGCAGGCATGCAACCGCTTCCCTGTCGCATGACTGAGAGGAAGTACAACGGTGACCTAACATGTAATGAATGTAATATCTTTTTCTTTTAAACGTTGCATGTGCAATGCTCACCTTACGTGAGAATGTCAGCACATTGGAAATCCAAGTAAAGACCCTGCAATACGGGTACAGAAAGGGAAATGAAGACAGAGCAGTGAAGATGCTTTTTTGAAGACTGCAAAGGATACCTTTAGCAAGCCTGGGAATAGATCCCAGATCATATAAAGCTTTCGTGATCTCTCTCCTACCATTACTAATTTTAAACAAACAAAATTTCTCTTTTATACAACTGTCAGCGTTGTATACACAACATTGTGTACAACTGCCACTTCTGCAATCTGGTTTTTAAACCAAAGAGGAGTGTCATATAAAAGTAAGATCAAATATGTAACATTTATCAGTAGTTAAGGACATTTCTCAATAATGTATGTCATGCATATGGAAAGGCTTATAATGAGCATTAACTCTAGCTAAGAAACAAAGTGCATCAAATAACGACCAGAGAACGTGCTTGCACATAGCAAAAATTTGTAATTATAAATATTGGAAAAATAACTCTCACACTTTGTAGGAAAGGAGACTAGCAGATAAATGTTGAATGCCAATTCTTTGAAAGTTGTCTGGTGATTGCATCAGTCAACCACTAAAGATCTGAAAGTGGTATTTATAAATTTAAAAAGTTATCAAAACAGTTGAAATATCTTAATGAATACATTTGCAAGTTTTTTTTAAGTCAGCAAAAGATCAGTAGCAATGTTTGAAGAAATTAAATATAAGGATTTATGAGATCAGGAATTAAGCAGAATCTTTAACAATACTAGGGGTCTTTCATGTGTGTCTTTTATGATCTTGCCCATAAGAGATGTGGGGTGAGCTCTAGTTCCACTGAAGGCAATGTCAGGTTTGCTTATAATATTTCAGTGTAAAAGAATCTCAGCAATTAGGCAAGAAAACAGTAGTATACATGGATGGGAAGATTAGACGTAGAGAAAATATCTGCCAAGCGTAGTGCTGACTTTTCCTTTCTTCTGACTAATAAATAATTTTTGAAAGAAATCCTATTAACAATGTTGCTTTTGATATTTAGACACTTTGAATTATTATTTAAATAGTTTCATAAATCCAATCTGCAAATGAATGAAGGTACAGTCTTTTTAAAAACAATTAAAGCAAGCATAGGTACAACAACAAAACAAGGACTTATCAGGTAGACAGTTCCAGTATAATGTTAAAATGGTCACATAGTGTGTATGGAGCTGAAGCAGAGGTAATTGATGGCATTAGGGGGAATTTTATAGTTGTAAATTTACCATATCTTTACTACAGTGTTTGTTCAGCATATGGTGGTTTCTGTACATTGATAAAATTTGATCAGTGCTTTCCTTTTAAGGTAGATAATGTATGCAGCATAGTAGAATTAACATTCAGTATTTTCTTCGGAGATTCTTTCTAATCCATGAAATATAAGTGATGTTAATTTACTGTGGTGATCGCAGAGAAAAAAAAGTTCATGCGTAGTAATTAGAAACATGTCATTAGAGTTGACGTCGCATTTGAATTTTTTCCATCTATTACAATTAATATTTTGTATTTCTTGGCTGACCGAACTTGGAAAAAATACAGATTGCTAACTACTTTAAAATTTCTAATTTGAAACCTTTCCAAAGTATTTTCAAGTTACTTTGGCTGAGCTGAGTTCTTCAGTATGCAGTAGCTTCAAAGTAAACTACTGAAGTTTTCAGCTCGCTTTTAGGATGAGACACACAGACTTTCCTGATATATACTCCTGACCATATATATTTATTGCTGGTGCCACCTGTGGAAGGAAAAATCAAACTTTTACTAAAATAATATGGTAAAAACATGATTGGATCTAGCTTTATCTTAATTTCAAAACTTTTCTAAAGTTTCTTTTAAATAATCACAGTTAACACTTAATTTGTGCTATTTCTTAGTGATGTGATTTCTTAGCAGGACAGTGTTGATCATAGGCCACACCAGGCAGCAAACACACTCTCCATGTATTGTTTAAATACACTGGTTTGAATTCTTTATAACCCCATGAGACTCCAGGTGTCCATCCCAGTGTACATGTGTATTTGTCTGTCATCTTCTGTTTTGGTTCTCAAGACTGGCTCCCATGCTTCTGCGGTATTAGATTAATTTGGACTCTTCTTACCTGTAACTCCAGGCCCAAATCTTGAAAAATAAAACCTCATACCAAGTAATCTTCTGAATTTTGATATAGGAAGGAGAACTTTCCTCCTTCTCTTCCTCCCAAAGAATACGTTCTGTACAAAGATGAAGACTGTTTCAGCCCAGGCTGAGGTTTGTGGATGCTCACCAGCCTGCTGTGTTTGGATCTGAGACTGCATCCAGCCACTTTTATGGTACTTTGAATTGAGGCAGGCAGTTTCTCTTGGTGGACTGAAAATTCACATGCTGGGCGCAGATTCCCCATCATTCAAGTGAGGATAAAAAGACCCTCAGCAGAAAATGTGATAAATGGAATGATGAAGACTTTCTTTAGAGGAAAAAACCCCAAAACCTGAAATAATTGTTATGCTTTTATACTTCTAAAGAGCAAAAAAACATATCTGGTTCAAGTAAAATGAGAATTACCCACATATCTTTCATTGTCTCATTTTCCTCACATCTGTTGAGCATTCTTTGGATTTTGGTTCAGCGTCTCTTGCAGAGCTTCTTTCTCCAGGACCCAGTTATCATATGTGGGACTGTATTAGGTTTGTGTGGCAAGGTTTTGGTAGTGGGGGGGGACTGCAGGGGTGACTTCTCTGAGAACATGCCGGAAGCTTCCCCATGTCTGACAAAGGCAATGCCAGCCAGCTCCAAGACAGACCTGCCGCTGGCCAAGGCGGAGTCCATCAGCGATGGTGGTAGCGCCTCTGGGATAACATAGTTAAGAAGGGCAGGGGGAAAAAGCTGCTGTGCAATAGTAGCTGGGAGAGACGAGTGAGCATATGTGAGAGAAACAACCCTACAGACTCCAAGGTCAGTGAAGAACCAGAGGGAGAAGGTGCTCCAGGTGCAGGAGCAGAGATTCCCCTGCAGCCTGTGGTGAAGACCATGGTGACGCAGGTCGTCCCCCTGCAGTCCATGGAGGTCCGTGATGGAGAAGATATCCACCTGCAGCTCATGGGGACCCCACCACACTAGCACAGGTGGATATGTCCTGAAGGAGGCTGTGACCCTGTGGAGAGTCCATGCTGGAGCAGGCTCCTGGCAGGACCTGTGAACCTGTGGAGAGGAGCCCACACTAGAGCAGGTTTTCTGGCAGGACCCATGACCCTGCAGGGAACCCACGTCTGTTCCTGAAGAACTGTACCCCATGGAAAGGGCCCATGCAGGAGCAGTTTGTAAAGAATTGCAGCCTGTGGGAAGGACCCATGTTGAAGAAGTTTGTGGAGGGCTGTCTCCTGTGGGAGGGACCCTACACTGGAGCAGGGGAAGAGTGTGAGGAGACATCCCCTGAGGAGGAAGGAGTGGCAGAGACAACATGTGGTGAACTGACCACAACCCCCATTCCCCATCCCCCTGTGCTGCTGAGAAGGGAGAGAAAATTGGGAGTGAAGTTGAGCCCGGGAAGAAGGGAGGGGTGGGGCAAACATGATTGTAGATTTGTTCTTATTTTTCATTATCCTACTGTCATTATCTTTAACTCTGATGTTAATTGGCAATAAATTAATTTCCCTAAGTCAAGTCTGTGTTGCCTGTGATGGTAATTGCTGAATTATCTCCCTGTCCTTGCCTCGACCCACGAGGCTTTCATTGTATTTTTCTCTCCCCTGTCCAGCTGAGGATGGACAATGACAGAGTGGCTTTGGTGGACACCTGGCCTCCAGCAAGGATCAACCCACCACAGGGCTTCTGCTTCAATTTCCTTAGTCTGTGTTCTCAGTTCCTTTCAATTCTAGCTGGCAGAGCTGTTGAAGGTTTCCCCTCACTAAAAAGAGTTCCTGTTGGCCTTTTAAAGACCTACCCAAATAATTTTGTCATCCTGCTTTGTAAACTTTTCTTTACCATCTATTGATAATCTAAAGAAAATGGATTGTACCAAAGTTGCAGCCATTTTGTTGTTCTGCCAATTCCCTCACTGATTATTCTTGATAATGATTCATGGTAGGCTGCCTCCTAGATACAAGAAATGAAGCGCTCAGTGTATGTCTGCAGTGATTCTTTTTTAGAAAATCCATCACCATTCTGTTCCTAGGAAGTTAAGTGGAGGCAGTGGAAAGAGCTGCACTGTAATCAAGGTATTGCTTACCAGAGCAGTGCACTGGGATAGCCTTTGCTCTGTGACACTATTCTCTTGAGATGCAAGCTGTACATTTTTGAAAGAAAGATAATTCTCCTTTTTAATATTAAAACCTGTAAGCATGTATAAGTATATAAGGTAAGGAACTGTCTCTGCCATCCGTATGCTGAAATAAGTGGGGAGTGTTTTCAGGATACTCCTCATTTTGAGGAAAATCATACCAAGCAAAAAGACGTCTTTGAAGACTATGTTGTACGCGTTTGTTCACAGTTTGGGGTTAAAATTCCCAATGGAGTTCAATTTTTTTAAAGTTGTAAAAAATCTGTTGCTGCGGTTTAGATTTCAAGGTATAGAATAGAATTGATGGTTAAATTACACTTGTGAGAGTTGGGGATCAATTTAATGGCTGTTAATTGCACTTGCTGCCTTGTAAGGATGTTTAGGATAAGGCCTTTACTGAGTTTTGAGAAAATAATTGCCTAGTTTTTATTATGCAATTATTTAACTGTTTTTCCTTCTTTTTAATCATTAGGTGATGCTTTTCCATGGACTATCAGTCTGCATCATTTCAGTATATATACTCTTCTTGGACAACAGATGACACTTAATTTAGTGGAACCAATGGGCTGTACTTCTACTTTAGCTGTTACTTCACAGAAACTGCTTGCTTCGGGTCCTGAATCCAGACACTCATTTGTTGTCTGCCTCCACGTCGACCTTGAGTCCCTTGAAATAAAATGCTCTAACCCCCAGGTTGGTACATTTAATTGATTTATGAGAGGAAATTAAAAATAACTCTATTTAAGTACAATTGTTCTACATTTTGTTGAAGAGGGTCTCTTCTATCTTTTTTTTTTTTTAACTGGGCCATCAAGATCAAGGTGCTTAGATTAAGATTTGCTTTGAAGCTCTCTCAAGTTTTGTAATTTAAACTCTTCTCAACATGTAATAGCTACAGTATAAATGCATCTTTTGGCTGATGGAGTGAAATGAATTGCAGATGTACCATTAAATGCTGTAGTGCTGTTCTGCTGTCACTGTGGATTCATATATTGAAGTGGTTTAATGTAATTTTTTACCATATTTTCATAAAACTAACATTTCTTTGAACATAAATGTTTTTTAGGCAAACAATGATATCCTATAGTAAAGGGGGAAAAAAAACGAATGCGTGTAAACAAAAGTTACTGCCTCATTTATGTTTATTAAAAGGCAAAGGTATTGCTAGATTTTCGGAAAGTGCACCCTGTATTTTACTGACATGGATCAAGTTTGCTGTAGTTCCCAATAGAGTAGGTTTCTATGCAAATTTTTGAGTAATCTTTACTGCAACTTGAATAACACTTTCCTGAGAGTTGTGACATTTCCAGTGGTGCTGGAGAGAACACTGTTGTTCTTGGCAATTGCAAATCTGTTGAGGTCTGAGTAGGGCTCCGCATTCATATGCTGTCTGCTCCAAAGTTTTAGCGATATGTAAGATTTTAAGGATATCACGGACAAAATGGTCTGTTTGTTGGTTCATTTAATAGAAAGAAATGGAAAGAACACAAAGTATTATAATTTTTTTCTGATAGACAGCATTTCACCTTTGTAAAGATTTATGGACCTATGGCCTAAGTCTGGGAGTACTAAAGCTAAGGTGGATGGTGTAATTTTGTTATCCCTTCTGTGTGTACTCATTACAATGTGTATCTCAGTCACATGCAGTTTTTCCCTTACCTCATTCCATGTTCTATGAATAAAACAAGTGTTTTAAACATCGTATTTATTTTATCTTCAATGTGTGGTCTTCTGCCCCATTCACTGCCTTCCATCCAAGTTATTTCTGACTCATTTGCTATATGCTATTGTCTTCTGTACTGGATGGAGTACTCGCACTCACTAGGAAAAGGGTTGCTAGAGTGAGATTGCACACTTGGACATGGCAGATTAAAATTTTAAATCGAGCAGCCTCAACATGGTCTACTCAGACTTGTAAAGCTGTATGACCGGTATATTTGCACACATAAAGGGTTGTCACTGTATTATAAATATATAAATAGGAAAGAATAAAGTTATGATTTTGCTGACAATTTTACATTTTATAGGTAAACACTTCTGAAAGCTTTACTTTGCAACGTTTTGGTATTTCCATAATGTTTAATGAATTAATATGTAATAATTTCACAGCTTATGGGAACCTGCCTTATTCTGTATTAATTTTCATAGAACTGTACAAAATTCATCTGGATATTGCAGCTATTCAGAGAATTGGTAAATATTTTGAGATGTTCATGTAGCAAAATAGTTTGCTACATTTGATCGGTACACTCCCAGTGAAAATTCCAGTAAATTGTCTTATCAACTCTGATTTTTTAAAATCTCCAAATGTGTTACTCATCGTTAATCTATGTAGTACATTAATAATATTAATTTATAAGCGCAATGGCATTGTTATAAGTAGCAGCCTTGCCTACATTTGCGTTGCAAATTGAAAAGAAAAAACGAGTAAGTAAAACACATTTTCAAACTTTTCTACCAAAGTGTGATCAAATAATTTGTTTTGCAAACTGTAAGAAAATACTTGCAGTAAAAAATTTAAATTGTAAGCTCCGTATAAATCATATTAGGAGTCTAGTGAAATGTTAAAATGAAGTTATACAGTGGAATATCAGATCAAATATTGTTTTCGTAAAGGATGTCCTTGTGCAATGTGGTGTTATTCATTTACTGAAGTATTATAATGACCAAAGAGACGTGGACAAATTGTTTGTCCTTTTTCCCTTACATCTGCCTTACTTGTCCTTTCTGCTTTACCTATGAAAAAGGAGAAAAAAACCCCATCAGTCTTCTTTAGTCAGATGTTGAAAAACAGAAGATGGAAAAACACAATTACATAAACAGCATTTGATTTTTATAAATTCACAATAGAGGAACTATGAAATTTGATTCTTTAGAATGACAGGCTGTATTTTGTCTATAGATGACAGCCTTAAAGTAGGTGATACTTAGTGAATTTGTTAAGTGGTAGCAAAGGTGAAGTATTTTACTATATGACTATTATGATTTAATATGAAACCATGTTTGGATGGTTTTATCCCTTGAAAGTCAATAGATATTTCCAGTGTGCAAAATTGCCAGGATATTGCCTTTTGTTGTAGTTTTCAATTTTGTAGTAATGTGTTATTTTTTTAAGTATAAAATGCTGTAACATACTGAACTTTACAGATTTTGCCAAGTAGTCAGTAGGGTCTTACTGAGTTATGTGTGGTTTTGCTGGGAGGGGGTGGGGAGGAGTGGAAGCAGCGAGAGAGGGAAACTTTTCTTAACAAATACTGGCACAGTTATTCCTATTTTTGTCATACATTTTTCTTCTCTTGAATAGAGTGCACTAAAAATAATTACTACGTATTAACTGTTATGCTCAAAAATACTTATAAAGGAGAGAAGCCTTATACTTACATTAGCTCTTCTAATATAATCAGAAATGGATTTTCATAATACTCAGACTACTTACTTGAAAAAGTCCAACCAACAGAGAAATCCTTCCATTTTAATGAGTAACAACCAATGGAATCAAATTAAGTGTGTTAAGAATAATCAAAGACATAACTTCAGCTCTTTATCTGAAGTTTTAAAATTTTATTTACATGTGCCTTTATGAACAGTAGCATAATTAAATTTCTGGAAGCCCTGCTTCATTAAGACAAGTATAGCTTAAATTACCCTTTGGTTTCTTGACCAAAAAATATTTTGAGGAAGGGGAGATTGCAAGCATGTATGATTTGGGTATGTGCCTGTATCCTATTAATTTTCTAGAGAGTCTTTTGCCAGCAAATTGTCAACACCAGTTAATGTTACATTAATCAATCAGATGGACATTATTAGTTGATCTTCCTGCGTTACATGGAAAAGACTCAGGAAAACTTAGAAATTTCTAATAAGTAATTTAAAGGTTACCAGTGTGTATCAGAGTGCTACAGACACAAAATAACTAAAGGCATAAGTAAAAGAACTTCTTGCCACAGCCAAAGTTATTGTTTCTCTGTAGATTGCTCTGTATCTGAAGACAAAAAAAAGTACTGAGAAGTTTATCTCCTTTAAGGAAAAAATCTGTCAAAAGTGTATATGACCTGCTCAGTGCAAGCCTTGAAACTTCAAAAGAAAACCCATGATGAATTAAGGTTTTTATAAAATTCCAGCACTTCACCTCTTAAGAGAGGACTGTAACATGTACTTTGAGACTTCATCGCACACTCTCACGCACAAAATCAAGAACTGTTTTATATCAAATGTAGATTGATGTGTGTTTTTCTGTGCAGTGTTTTTCTGCATCTGTTCTGCCCACATAAGAAGCCAGCTTCATAGAGTAGATGTGTCCTGAGGCTTAAAGTTCTTATAAATATGAGAATTTCCATTTTTTATAATGGCAAGTTGGGTATGGTATCCAGCTGTGGATCTGCTTATATATTGTTTGCAGTTTTCTCTGAGCTTGTTTTATACAGTATATTGCAGTATGTTGTCATACAAATTCTGTGATTAATGCTTATTTACAAAAACTTGTGTAAATATCTTAGAACTGAGTCAAACAATGTGCAAGTTAAACAGTGTGTTTCTGAATATTGGAATGACATATGCCAGGAGACTATTGATTTTGATAGTGGATATTCTTCCTAAAACATAGAACAGTTTCATATGCTGTATGGGATCGTTATTTTGATGCGATTTAAATGAATAATGTTTGCATTGTTAATATTTCGTAAAGTTTATACGTTTGCCTTTTTCTAGAGGCAGTATCTATACGTATGAAATATAACACAAATTACCTTTGTCTAATTGTTAAAATTGATATTAGTAAAAGTTTTACAAGACCATGTTACTGGTTATGTTTTTATGAGCTACGTACCATGTGTTTAGACAAAGCACAGATTATTTCTATCAAAATCACTATACTGTAACTGATGTTAATTATTTTAATTGCAGTGTAGTTGCTTATCAGAACATTCTAAATGGTGGGAAGTTCAATTCTGCTCCATTCTAAGTCTCAGTGGAGGACTTTGATGATTTGCCTTCACCTCATTAAGGAAAGCTTCATCTTAAAAAAGTTGTTTTTTTCTTTTAGGTGCAGCTTCTGTATGAACTGGCTGAAATCACAAGTAAAGTTTGGAATAAAATTCAGAGGAAGGGAATTCTGTATCAATCTTCTGTCTATACTGAAACCATGACAGGACCTGCTCCTCCTAGCTCTCCAGTTAAAAGCAGTGTTGGTACCGCTCCACCAGATACCAGCACATACAGCCCATCTGCTGACATTGGGACCACTACGGAGGTAGGCTTTCTTGAAAAAAAAAAGTGACATTTGAGTTCTGACTTACAAGGTGTGGTGGTGCACCATCAAGTAAGAATCAGAAGGATCAGAAAGAGCAGTAGTGTCCCTGTGGAAAGCAGCTTTGTCCTGATAAACTAATGAAGAATGCTTCATTGCTCAGTTTGGTGGAACAAGAGGAAGGAGAAAACAAAAAAAGAAATTGCTGTATTGCTCCTCTGTTAATTATTTGTCTGGATTGTTTCTCTTTGAAGTGAATGAATATTCACTCTTGTCAGAAAATTATGGTTAGTGTTTTCAGGTCAGAAGCATAAAGCATTTTTCAAGTCCAGAATTACTAGAATAGTAACTGGTGTTTTGGAAGTACCTGTGATAATGTGCTGCTAGTGAGTCGTTCTAAGTCACTCAGCAGTCAGCCTGTCATTTTGATGCCCAAGTCAGTGGAGAGCTGCTGTGTGTAGACTGCATTGGCAACCAGAAGAGGTGCAGGGGCAGTGAAGGCTCCCAAGGCTGGCATTGCAGGTCACCCAGCTGTACGCTCACCACAGGTCCATCCAGCCGTTGTACTTGTTGTTGTTGTTGTTGTTGTTGTTGTTGTTGTTGTTGTTGTTGTTGTTGTTGTTGTTGTTGTTGTTGTTGTTGTTGTTCTTCTTCTTCTTCTTCTTCTTCTTCTTCTTCTTCTTCTTCTTCTTCTTCTTCTTCTTCTTCTTCTTCTTCTTCTTCTTCTTCTTCTTCTTCTTCTTCTTCTTCTTCTTCTTCTTCTTCTTCTTCTTCTTCTTCTTCTTCCTTCATCTATGAACTACTTTTAGAGCTCAGTTCCTTCTCATCTCCCAGCTATCCCATGTCTCAGGAGTGCTTTTGTAATTCAGTCACAGGAGGATTTCAGTATGCAGCTAGAAATATAAGAAAGGTTGGCCACTTGGTTTTACCTATTTCTGCTTACTTAATTTACAACACCGCATAACTGTGTGGAACAATCTGGTACCTGATCTGAATCTCTGTGTGTGCGTAAGACTGTAAAATATTATTTTGAGGCATAGGAAGGAGTTCCGCTTCTCTGCCATACTGAGGAAAGAAAGCTAATTCTTTCATCAGCATGAATACAGTGTTAAACTTCCTCTGTGAGTATCATTAGCTATGAGTCACTGGGTAGCTGATATATAGTAGAATGGGTGGTCACAGGAGGCTGTGCAACTGAATAGGCCTAGTATTTGTGATTTTCTTAGTGCCCTTGTCATGCTTACTAGTTAGAATAATGAGCTAGCCTTGTTTGTGCTCCAGGAGAGAGTCAAAAATGAATAAGATGAGTTGAAGGTATACCAATGGTATATCATACGTATGCAATACTTCATTCTTAACATAAAACTATTAGAATATGGGGAGACGGTGCTGAGAGACTGGGTTTCGTTCTCAGGATAAACACAGCAATTTTGGGGACACCTCATAGAACAGTTCTGGAACACAGGCAAATACGCAGAAGTTTGAATGCTGAGTGCAATTACATATTCAACATTTGGCCAGGATTGCTTTAACCCTATGTATGGTTTATATTAATTTCTGGGTTTGGAGAAAATGAAAATTTACTTTTTATATGCATCACACATGCACACAGAGACATAACTGTCGTTAAAAGGTGTTTGAGCTAGAGTTTTCAGTTTTTAAGTTGTTTTATTAAAATGTTTCTAGATTATTTGAATAGCCTTGGTTTTGGTGTATTTCTATGTGTGTCTCATCTCAATTGTGAAAAATTTTGCCATGGATACAGAACTGAAGGTAAGCAATACCAGTAAGACAACAATATGGTCACAGAAATAGTGTTTTTCCACCTACTCACATCAAATCCTTTTCTCATTAAAATCAGAAACCACCAGTTTTATAAATAACAATTTGTTTTTGACCTTCTATATAGACAGCAGTATTTGGAGGACATGCTGTACTTGGAGCATTACTTGAAGCTGATTCAGTAATTGTTTTAATCCATATGTTACCAAGATTATTTTAGTAATATGGGTCCATGTTCAGTGTTCATATCCTACCCCTTTGCAAAATGTTGTTCATCATTTAATTTTCTTCCTATTCTCAACAAATGTTATGCACTAGCTAAATAACTTTTCTCCTCATCTAAATGAAGTTTGAACAAAGGAATTTGTGTTCACTCTTTTCCACTCTGAAGCTAAGACCATAATTTCAATCTTGTTAGAATAGAAAGTTCTATTAAAACACATGGCATTAATATTGGATTTTTTTTCACAATAGGGGACTTACAGTTGACATAGCACTTCAGAAGTGACATTTGAAAACTACTTTGAAAGGAATGTATCATTGTGCTTAGGATAAATAAATTAAAAAATTAACTATGTTCAGAGGATATTATTAAAGATATGGAAGAGGAAAGAAATGTACAAGCAGGAGAAAACGCTTGCATGTAGCCATAGTTCACATGACTGAAAGACTGAGGAATAGAATCATAGAATTGTTTAGGTTGGAAAAGACCTTTAAGATCATCAAGTCCAACCGTTAACCTAGCACTGCCAAGTCCACCACTAAACCATGTCCTTAAGCACCACATCTACATGTCTTTTAAATACCTCCAGGGATGGTGACTCCACCGATTTCCTGGGCAACCTGTTCCAATGCTTGACAACCCTTTTGGTGAAGAAATATTTCCTAATATCCAATCTAAGCCTCCCCTGGCACAACTTCGAGGCCTCAATTTGAGCTCCTGACCATCATCTCCAATCAGACCTCTCAGCCCAAAGTGTTTTGTCTGGTGTAGGTAGGCAGTCCAGAAGAAAGAGCCAGCACAAGGGATATATAAGTGCACAGATAGAAAAAAATACTAAGGCAGGTGTTTAATGGAGACAGTGAGGTGGGAGAACGTATACATGGCCAGATATTTGAGATTGCAAAAAGTTCTTTGTCAGAAATTGAAAATGAGAATTAGAAGGCTAATTTTTGTATTGTCAAGAAAAGATTCACAGAGTTGTTCAAGCAGGATGGTAATATTGTTGGTTCAGGAAAATCTTATTCCATGGGTGGGAATGTTACGTGTATTGAGGTGATTAAAATCAAAACAGTATGTACAGTGTACAAGGGTTTTAATTAACAGTAAAAGAACAGAAAGGCAAAGGTTTAGAATTACCATGGAGACTTGGAGAGCATCTTTGTCATGGGAAGTCAAGCCAGAGTTTAGATTTCTAAATGATTAGTAGCTAGAAAAATGTCTGTATTTGAGTTTGTGGGTGCCATCATTTTTATGAATTTGTGAGACAGTGTTTATACTTGAAGACCACCTTTGATATCAGTCTTGTGATTTCTTGAAAAAAGTTAGTGGTTCTCTAAGGTGGAAAAGAACAGATAGAGTGGAGGGTTCATCTGAATGATTTGGTTGTTATGGGATGTAACATCAAAGGTTGTCTTGACTTAGTGCTTTCTTGTGTTTAAAGAGTGAGGTTTAAAACAAAACAAACCTCAAAAAAGCCATTATCCTTTCACTCTTAGGACATTTTATGTCAAGCTACCAGCTGGAGTGAGGTGAATCACCTAGTAGGATGACCAAGGTGATTCATTCTAGATAATTTAAACAAAGTAACATTTTCCGAAGAGATTTTTTATTAAGCTATAGGGAAAATGATCTTAAGCGCTCTACCACCATTTCATTTTTTTCCCTTTTAATCTTTTTGTTGCCATCACTAAAAATAAATCTCAAATTGTTTTGAAGCTATACAATGAACGTTTGCAGATCATCATGTGGAAAGTAGCTAAGAACATTGTTCCTGAAACTATGCACAGTCCCGATGTCTGTGAGTTGTGTAGTACTGTTGTGGGTGGGAAAGGGAAAGAGGTAGGAGAGTCACACTTGGCCAACCAGTGAGAAAGAATAAAAGGAACCATGTTTTCTTCTCACATTTCTAATAGACTATTGTAGACAATATAAATTAAATAATTTGTAACACAATGGTTGGCAGTGTCTCCATAACACATTCTCTTCTGCAGTTGGTGGCTGTTTCTGAACTTATTCAACATATTTCCTAGTATCAAAGCACAAGCTAGGTTTTCATTATAATTACATGGTTGCTGTCCTGTTCTTTGAGGTAAGGATTGTTGAGAATTAAAAAATATATGTATTAAAAAAATAGCTAATGAATGTTCTCCATCATTCTTTTTCACCAGTGAAAGCTTTTTGTCCTTTGAGAGTACTTAATCACTTAGTTTCCCTGTTTCCTTTTGCTAACTTAATTACTATCATCATCCCTAGCTGTAGGTAGTGTGATCATTACATTGTGCTTCTCCTTTATTTGAAGAGGGTAGGATGTGAAGATGAGAGAGAGAATCTGGTCACTTCTGCTGTCTCCAACTGATACTTTGAACTACTTCAGTCTGCTGAGTGCCTCAGTTATAGCCCATAATATAGACTTTATTTGAAGAAAAGTAACCTCCTTGGTATGTTCAAATAGGCACAGAACCCTGTTATAGATGCAGGGATGCATCTGAGTGGCATCTGCACAGAGGACTATACAGCTATTCCTCTGTCACAAAAGCAGACAAAGTCAACAGGCCTTGTAGACAAGAAATGTAGACAGATTTTTATTATTATTATTATTATTTTGTCTCCTGTGAAGTACAGCAGCTAGTTCTACCTGTCAAATTGCCTAATGGGGTGCAGATGTCACTCTGTTATACCATACTATTTTCAATAAGGCCAGATTTTTCTTCTGAGTGAAGATGCTGTCCTCTGCAGTCTCTCCAAGTACAGATCATTATATATAAACATCTGTCTTGGACATAAGACTTTTTATCTGGATACTCTGTTCACCTAACTAGTGAAATCCAAACAAGTATTTTGAGACCCAATTGCATTGTCTTGCACCAAAGTACAGTTATGGGCTGAATATTTTTCCAGGTACCTTCTGAAGAAGTAATTTTAATTTCAAAAGTGTAGAAGTGGGGTGAGGGATGTGAGAGTAACCTAATGTTTGTCAGCTTCATATGTCATGGTATTCTTCAAGTACTCTTCAGAGACTGGTATA